TAAAGAAAATGTGGTACACATAAGAGTGGAACACTATTCATTCATAAAAAAAGAATGAAATCCTACCATTTCGATAACATGGGTGGAACTGAAGATCATTACTGTGCCTGACTAACTTGACTTGTCACATAGTCTTACTCATGTGGAATCTAAAAATGCTGTCTCACAGAAGTTAAGAAAAGAATGGTGGTTACCAAAGGTTAGGGAGAGCAGTGGAAAAAGGTTCATCAGAAGAGACTATGTTATAATTGGGTAAGAAGTTGTGGTGCTACTGCATAGCAGGGTGACTATATGTAATTGTATGTTTATAATATATAATGAATTATTAATTAAAAGCTGGAAGAAATTTTGAGATTTTTCAAATGTTTGAGAAGATTCATCTCTTTAACTTGATTTGAACATTACACAATATATACACATATCAAAACATTACCTGGTATCCCATTAATTTGTATAATTTTTGTTCTTATGTATCAGTTGGAAATATTTTTTAAAAGGTCTGATAAGGCATACATTATATTTCATGTGCTCATTTGGAAGAGGAAGAAAGTTACATGTTATTAAACTGTTTCTTTTTTAATTAATACCAGATTCATGTTACCTATTGTCAATCTCAATAAACTATATGTTATGGGTACTAAATGGAGAGTTTAATAAGCTAAATTAAAAAATAGAATTACTATGATTAAGCAGTTCCAATACTAGAACTATGTAAAATATTCAAAAGAAATATGTAAAAGAGTTCTGAAGAGATATTTCATACACATGTGTTAGCTTTCTGTTGCTATGACAAAAAACCCAAGATAATCAACTCATAAGAAGGAACAATTTAACTTGGCTTCCATTTTCAGAGGGTTTAGTCCATGGTCAGTTGGCTCCACTGTTTTGGGGGCTGTGGTGAGGCAGAACATCATGCTGAGAAGCGTGTGGTTGAAGCAAAGGTACTCACCTCAAGGCAACCAGAAAGCAAAGAGAGTCCCCAGTGATCAGCTTCCTTCCATAAGGCCTCACTTCCTAAGTGTCCCACCTCCCAATAGCACCACAGACTAGTGATCTTACCTGAAATACATGGGACTTTGAGGGACACTCCAATCCAAATTATATTCCATGTTCATAGCATCAACAGTCACACAAGTCAAAAGACAGAGACAATCCAAGTATCCATCAATGGAGGAAAGGATAATTAAAATGTCATATACATATATACACACACAGTGGAACAGTCCAGTCTTAAAAAAAGACAGAAAACTGTGACGTGCTACAATGTGGATGAATCTTGGGGATGCTGCTAACTGAAGAAAGTCAGTCACAAAAAGACAAATATTATATGATTCCATTTACATGAAGTAACAAAACAGTCAAATTCACAGGGACAGAAAATAAAACGGTGGTTTCCAGGGGGTGCGAAGGAATAGAGGAAATGAGTTGTTGAATGCATACACAATTTTCAGTTTTGCAAGGTAAAAGGAGTGCTGGAGATTGGTTGAACACTGTAAAAATGATGGAACACTCATGAATTGTATACCTGAAAATGAGTGAGATGTCAAATTTTGTTATGTGTTTGACCACAGTTTAAAATCTGACTTGCCACTAGTAGATTCACACATAGGCTATGAGCAAGATTATGAGCATTTCTTTTCCAAGTACTTCTGTCCTGGTTTAGAGATGCTGACCTTAACCTTCAACACCACGTGTCAGTGTTTCATGTCCTTTGTATCAATGGACTCTTTCAAATCAGTAATGTTAATTGCTAAACTTTAATTCTCACTGGAGAATTTTTTTAATACTGATTTCTCTTGTGATTCAAAATTTGGAAAAACACAAATTTCCCATGAAAATCTGGGAAGGAATTCCCATGTGAAAATATTAATCAAAACATTAGCAAAAAGAATAAAGTAATATACAGAATAAACCAAGAGGGTTTATAAGTGTAAAGATGATTTAATATTAGAAATCAAACAATGTAATTCATTAGACTAACAGATTCAAGGGAAGTAATCTTTCTCAATAAATTCAAATAAACTGCTAAAACTCGCCATTTGTGATAAAACCTCACAGTAACCTAGTAACAGGAAGGAACTCTTTTAATCTGATAAGGGAAATATACACATTTTAAAAACCCTGCAGCAAATTGAAAATTTAATGATGAAACACTGACACTTTCACCTTTAAGATTAGACACAGGATTAGAATGTTTCAGTATTACTACTTCTACTGATATTTGTACTAAAGAGAAGCTGTAACTAATCAGCACAATGAACAAGAGAAAGCAATAAACAATGTAAGATTTGGAAAGAAATCTGAAATTGTTCATAGATGATATGATTACAAACTACAAAATCCAAAACAATCCAGATATGCCTCTAGAAAGAAGAAAAGTTTACTAAAGTTACTGAACAGAAAATCAGTATGCAACAACTAACTTTAATTCTAAATGCTGACAATCATCATAAAAAACCTGTAAAAAAAATACCCTTTACAAAAAAATAGAAGTGCCTACAGACCAGCTACATAAAAGTATGCAAATCTCTACAAGGAAATTTGTAAAACTTCATTAAGAGAAGGTCTAAGAACAGAGGAAAAAGTCTTATATGACAGATTTAATCATGAATTAAGTAATAAAAAATGTGACCCAGAAAACTAAATTAAGAGAATAAAAAGACAAGACACAGAATGGTAAAATGTTAGCAATGATGTTATGCAACCAATAAAGTACTACTAGAAACATTGGCAAATAAAACACAGAGGCAGGTTATCAAAGAGAAAATCATACTGACCAACAAACATGCAAAAAATTTAATCTTCCTAGTCAATTAAAATGAGACATGAAGGCATGTTGCACCCAACAAAATAGTAAAAATGTTAGTTTGAAAATATCAAGAAGGAGAAGCAAAATCACCCCTGGTTAAGAGTCACTGATTCTAAATAAAATACCTGAAACTCTACATTTTTCCATCCTGCTGTACATAAAACTATATATTTTATTTTAAGGGCAAAGTAAAGAATTTTTCAGGGGATGATTTCATCACATGAAATCTTTACCTTAATCACCAATTCAAAATCTAATAATCCTTGTGAAAACTTTGACTACACTGTATGTAAAATTCATTTTGTAGAAAGAAGATAAAAAAAGTTGAAATCCTAAAGAACAGCAAAGGCGCCATAAACATATATTTTTTATTAAAAAAACGTGATTTGGGGCTGGGGTTGTGGCTCAGCGGTAGAGCGCTCGCCTTGCATGCACGAGGCCCTGGGTTCGATCCTCAGCACCACATAAAAATAAATAAGTGGAAATAAAGATATTGTGTCCAACTATAACGAAAAAATAAATATTAAAAAAAAACGTGATAAGCAGATGGAAGGCAAACTTCACATTTAGGATATTACAATTTTTGTACCTGTCATAAATTGATCTTTTAGATTTTAGAAATGTCAACTAGATCACTTTGTAGGCCCAAAGAAAATTTATCTGCCCTTTTTTCATGAGGAAACTAAGAAACACTTCTAGAATATTTAGACTGAGATGCAGCATGTTACATTGATCTTTGTAGGCTCCCTAGTTCACACTGCAATATTAGTCTGGTGTCTATCTTCTCCAGACTCTGACCTCTACATGTACAGACGTTGCCTGCCTGGCTCACTGTGGTCTTCTTAGAACTAGCCTCATGCCTGTGGTATTGGCATAAAAACAGACATCAAGACCAATGATACAGAATAGAAGACACAGAGACACATCTATCGTCCGAGTCCAGTGCAGATGACTAACTGTCCAGTCACTTGGGGGAAATTCTTAGGAAGTTAGAAAGGAACTGAGTTCCTCAACAAGACTGCTAAGGTGCAAAAAGTAAAATCAAGAATCAATAAATGGGATGGACTCAAACTAAAAAGCTTCTTCTCAGTAATGGAAACAATGATGTGATGAGAGAGCCTACAGAATGGGATAAAAATCTTTACCACATGCACATCGAATAGAGTACTGCTTTCCAGGATATATAAAGAGCTCAAAAAACTTAACACCAAAAAACCAAACCAAACCAAACCAAAACCAAAACAAACAAACAACAACAACAACAAACCCAATCAAGGAACTGAACAGACACTTCACAGAAGAAGAAATATAATCGATCAACAAACATATGAAAAAATGTTCACCATCTCTAGCAATTAGAAAAAAAACAAATCAAAACTATTATAAGATTTCATCTCACTCCAGTCAGAATGATAATTATCAAGAATACAAGCAATAAGAAATGTCAGCAAAGATGTAGAGGAAAAGGTACACTCATACATTGCTGGTGGAATTGAAAATTAGTGCAACCATTCTGGAAAGCAGTATGGAGATTCCATAGAAAACTTGGAATGGAACCACTCCTTGGTTTAAGCCCAAAGGACTTAAAATCAGCATACAGCACATCAACGTTTACGGCAGCTCAATTCACAATAGCTAAGCCATGGAACCAACCTAGGTGTTTCAACAGATGAATGAACAAAGAAAATGTGGTGTATATACACAATGGAATATTACTCCGCCATAAAGAAGAATGAAATTATGGCATTTGCTGGTAAATGGATGAAACTTAAGACCATCATACTAAGTGAAATAAGCCAATCCCCCAAAACCAAAGGCTGAATGTTCTCACTGATATGTGGACGCTAACCTACAATAAAGTGGGGGTAGGGAAGAATAGACATCCACTGGATTAGACAAAGGGGAATGAAGGGAAGGGAAGGGGGAGGGGAATAGGAAGGACAGTGGAAATAATTTGACATAATTTTCCAATCCTTGCATATGAATATATGACCAGTATAACTCCACATCATCTACAACCAAAAGAATGGGATCCTAATTAGAATAAGTTATACTCCACGTATGTAAAATATGTCAAAATACACTTTACTGCCATAAATATCTAAAAAATAAAAATTGGAAAAAAAAAACCTAGCCCCATCCCTGGCACACACAATGGTCAAATATCTGAATGAAATGAGCAATTTTAGTATAAACTTGAAGAATTATTTATTGAAAAACCATTTTATAATAGACTCAGGTAACAATAACATTTAGTAGTATTAAAACAAAACTACATAATTTCATTAAGGTGCAATTAAAACATTTGAAATGGCACAATATATTTCAAACCAGTATACTAGCTTTCTAAATTGTAAGACTAGTCTATTCTAATCTTGAAGTCTGACTTAAGTTTAAGATTAGAATAGGGAAATATATACATTTTATGTATATATATATTTTTTAAAAATAAAAACTACACTAACCATGTCTTTGAATTTCTCTGTAACATTTTCATTGTTTTATAACTCTAGGTGACCATACTGAAAATACAAACACATTTTTAGAATACAGACTGAATATCCCTTATTCAAAATGCTTGGAACCAGAAGTATTTCTGACTTTGAAGTATCTGTATAAACGCTGAGCTGAGCATCCCTAATGTGAAAATCCACCAAAATGACACTCAGAAAATTCTGGGTAAAGTAAGAGAGGTCTGTGTCACTGACACATTTTGTTTTGGATTTTCAGGTTAGGAATGCTCAACCTGCACTACTTTGTTTTCAATATCCTTTGTCCCTCCCTCATCCTCTCAGGGAACCTCTCTATCACTGAGTCACACTCCCAGTCCTATATTCTTATTTTTAATGTAGCTTTACCATGGTTACAATTTTAGAGTTTTCCCCCTTTTATAGAAAACTATCACATACATATATGTAATATCTGGGAAATAAGTTTTAACTAAAAGCCACCTTAAAATAGCAGTATTTTTGTTATAATCTATACCAAAGGAACAACCATTGTTCTGCTGTTTCATCATTCTCAGCTAATAGATAAATCATGGATTCCATTGAAAATGCCATGACTATGCTATTGAGAAGAAATAAAAATTTAGCCAATAAGTAGGGCAAGAATAACAGTCATTTTTAATGTGTGAAAGCAAACAGCTTCCTGGACACTATCACAGCATCTTTGGGTGATGAATTAATCAAGCAGAAAACATTTTTTTTCAAAAACACAGTTGTTCACTTAAATATTAATCCCCACTTAAAGACTGTGAATGGGTTGAAAATGAAAGCTGAAATACAATTTCTAAAGGTTGAATTCAAGGAGTATTTCTTATACTGAAGATCACACCCAAGCTTTCCATCCTGGGAAAAGTCGGCTGAGATTTTTGGGGTCCATAGCCTGCTGTATGAGCAAATTCACCTGTCCACCCACACTGAGCACAGTGCCTTCTTCCACTCCTTTCAGTTTCTCTTGCAATCTCATCAAGACACGTTCTGCCACTTTGTTGAAACTTTGGTCAATATCACTAATGACAAAAACACAAAAGTGTAAATGATGTAGAGCAGTTTTAAGAGTCTTGGGAGTAAGAAAACATAAACTGACAACAGACTCTTCCTAAAATACTACTCACCTAAGATCTCGTTTGCTTTCTCGGTCATCCGCATTTGGAGTGGTGTGTAGCTCGGTTTCATCTTCTGGCCTCTGCTGTAAATACAGAGCTTTCAAAGGATTCATGGTCCAGTCAAAGAGTGGATCATACAAGAGAACCTAACAGAGAGAACATGTGTATTAGAAGAACAATGTGCATCCTGATCATGTATTATAAAGAATGGAGTCAGGGTTAGAAAAACAACAATAGGTCAGTAACACAGTAGTTGATAGGAGGAGAGGGAGCAAACTTATCAAGCATCTTCATGTTTCCTGGTGGAGGAAACTTTAATGACATCATGTTCTGAGGGTCTAATCTGTTCTAAATTCATTTTTCCTCCATATCTGGAGTGATATCCATTGGCACGTTTCCTGACTAGGTGAATTTGTTTATTAAAAGGAGATAAGCTCTAATGAGTGCCATTCCTTCACTTTCTACTCTGACCAATGCGGTAATAGGTAAGGATATTTGTTTTGTAGGCCCCAACTTCCTAATGGCACTTTATTAGAAAGAGAAAAAAATGAAATTTACAAAGTAAGGTCATGAGGGATTTCTGACTTTGACAGTTCAAAAAAGCTAACTGCCCTGGTGTTTATAAGCTTAGAAACACCCCTCCCCTTGTAGTTAGGCTTTAGCAAATCCTTAGGAGTCTTAAGAATAAATGAAGAGTAAATTACAGAAAAAAAGTTTCTGTAGGACATGCAAGCATTAAAAGGCTGGAATACTTATTGTTGCTAATTTTACTGTGCTTCTCAGTACAACCACATATTGGGATTATAAAACGTCTTTAGTGGATATGCTAGATTAACAGTCCAAAAATTTCTTCATATTTTATGATGCTGTTTTGATTGTTCTTTCAGGCCATTAAAAACTATGAAGGGAAGAGACTGACAATGATTACATGTGCCTTGTTCATAAGTGTGACTTCATATTGGACTTTAACAAATCTTTGTCTTGAGACAGGCCACCTGATGGAGAATTGGGACCTCTGAAGCAAATGTCCTTAACCAGGATGTAAGTTATGAGTTTTATTCACAAAAGAGAAGAATATTTTATTAGGCAACTAATGGGAAGGAATGAAGTCCTCTATTATAAAGACACTATGTAGTCATCTTGGGTTAAAGTATAGAAACAACACAAATTACTTAACTATTATCCAAAGTACAGGTATGAAGACATGAATTGGTGTGAATATACTTTGTATACAACCAGAGATATGAAAAATTGTGCACTATATATGTAATAAGAATTGTAATGCATTCTTCTGTCACATATAAATAAAAAATAAATGAAAAAAAAAACAACCAATGGCTTGTGTCAGGAATCATATTTGAATACATTGGAATTAGGGAGGAAATGGAATTAAAAAATAAGCTTTAGTCTAACTACCCAAACAGAAGAGGACCCAGACAGAAGTGGCTGAAAACAATAAAGGAACATAAACTGATTAAGCTACTGTAGGGTTTCTCAATCTTAATATCATAATTTTAGGATTGGATACTTTATTGTGGAGCTGTGTACTGTAGGATGATCAGCAGCAGTCCAGCCTCTACCTAGAAGATGTCAACTGTAACCCCCACCCACTCTGTGATAACAAGAAGTATCTCCAGACATTGACAGCTATCCTCCATGCAACAAAATTGTCCTTGGATAAGTATCATTGAGCTAGAGGGAGAAAAATATTTCCTTAGTAGAACAGATAAAACCTCGGAGGACATGATGATCCACTGTGAAGAAAACAAGACCTTGAAGGCCAGGAAAGACAGAGAAAGGAAAATGCACCCAAAGTGCTCTGAAAGAGAGGTTTAGAAAGGAGGGAGATGTTTAAATTGTAATCAGATCAGAAATAATAACTGTGATTCAATGAAACTTAACAGAAGAAAAGTAATGAATTCAAGAGAAGAATGATCTCCCAGACAATTGGCACCTAGTTTGCTATTGAGAAGTACCCTCCTGAAGTTGAAGCCAGGAATTATATAGTAAAATCAACTTGAAATTACTCTCACAACAATAGGTCAGTAACAACCATTTCTAGAACTCATTTGCTATGGGACAACCATAGAAAATGAGTTCTAGAAATTTGGACAGATTTACAAAGGGAATATCAGATAGGCTGGTTAAAAAAAAAATCACAAAGCATTAGGGAGGTATGTTCAGAAATGACAGTTATTATAGGTAGAGATGCAAATCACTTCTTGGACTCCAAACCCTTTTGGAGTACATCCACAGTCCTTACAGTGATGTAGAAATCCTTATAGGTGATTAAGCAACATTACTTCTTTGACTTCCTCTTTTATTACCCTTTAAAGATGAAGATCTTGAGCAACTTTTAACTAAACTTCTGAGGTCCTAAAGGAATGTGCCCTTTTGGTAAGTGTAAACCTAGAATATACCTATGAAGAACTCCCAAAGCTACCTGTGCATAAAAAAAAATCCTTGACTGAAACTGGAGGCATTTCTACCCCCCCCCCAATTTTTTATATCTTTATTTTCTTCATTTTTATGTGGTGCTCAGGATCGAACCCAGCGCTTCGCAGGTGCTAGGTGAACACTCTATTGCTGAGTCATAACCCCAATCCCCCCAAATTTTTGATGTGTGAAAATGCTTAGTGTGTAATCTCTCTTTTGCTGCCCAGTAGCATCCCACTGCAATAAAATGAATAAGTGCTCTTTAAATCAATGACTTCCTAACAAAGTGCACTACATGGTAGAGAAATAAAGATTTTCTTATAATATACTTTACCTCTACAATGGTTAGCAGAGTTTCCTGAGAATTTCTCATAACTTCCATGGTTTTCTCACAGCATCTACAGAGCCAAACACATTATAATATGGATTTTATTGCATACGGTTTTCAACACATATTTACTTATAGACACTCATGTGTCATACTCTGAGACTATCCTAATTAGGAATTCCCAAATTTATACCTCAAAGTACTTGGCAAAGTAAACTTTTGAGGCTGGGTTGTGGCTCAGTAGTAGAGTACTCGCCTAGTACATTTGAGGCACTGGATCCGATCCTCAGCACCACATAAAAATAAATAAATAAAGTAAAGATCTTGTATCCAAATACAACTAAAAAAAAATAGTTAAAAAAAAGGTAAGCTTTTAACAGACGTTTCTGAAATGAATACAAATACATACATATAAATGTTTCATAAGCTTAGCATTTATAAGAAAAAATACTACTATGAAACATCTCTTTCAGTCTTGATTATTGTGGCAATATTAGTTTACTTGATTTGAATCTGCTCCAATCAAAATTGAGTACAGACTGGAAGCGGGTGCTGTGGTGGGTCCACCGTGAACCCTGGGGTATTCTTGCTTGGGCGCTGCTCTTGGGGTGACCCGCTGGCCTCCCAGGCTAGGACTTCAGGGTCAGCCAGCCTACGCCAGGCTGGCCGAGACACGGCTGGCAGTTGTCATAGTGACAGCAGCCACCCTGGCCTCCTACCTCTGCCTCACCGGGCCTGGGAAATGGCCAGAGTATAGGGTGGGGAGGCTAGGGCTCTGACTTCACTGGTGTCTCGGGTGGGAAGCATCTGGGGAGCCTCTGGCTTGCTAGGTCTCTTCCCACTGGAATCTTGGGGAAAACAGGTGCAGATGTAGGGTTTGTTGGGACTTAAGCAATTCACTAGGCTTTTTTTGGAACTCAATCCTTGGAACAATCTGATGAGATGGGAGGGTTTTGCCAAGGTGCTTGAAGTTTCACTAAAATGCTGAGACTGGTTTTGAACTTTCGATACTCTTGCCTCAGCCTCTGAGTTGCTGGGATTACAGGCATGTACCACCATGCCTGGATAAGTGAAAAATGAAAAACAGACTGGACCTCCAAAGAGGACACACAAATGGCTTACAAACATGAAAAGATGCTGAACATCATCACTCATGCAGGGACTACAGTGGGACATACCTTTATACCCCCAGTGACTGTAATCAGAAAAGTATAGGGAAATAACAAGTGTTGGGGAGAGAAAGTAGAAAATGGGAACCCTCAGTTGTTGCTAGTGGGAATGCAGAATGGTTCAGCAGATGGCAAAAATCATTTGGTAACTCCCCAGAGGTTAGACATGGAATATACCACATAATACAGCACTACCACTTGGAGGTAGAAACCCTGAGGGACTGATAACCGGGGTTCAAACAAATATCTTGGATAAGTTTGTTCACAGCAGCACTGTTCACAAGAGGCAAAAGATGGGAAAACCCAAGTGTCCATGGACAGCTAAATGGATGAATGAGATGTGGTCCTTCCATACAGTGAGATAGTGTTTGGCCACAATAAGCCCTGAAGCCCTGATCATGCTACAACCTGGAGGTACCTTAAAATGTTATGCAAAATGAAAGCCAAACTTATTTCCTGATTCTATTTAAATAAATGTCCAGAATAGTAAAATAAGACAGAAATCAGGTTTGTGTTGGCCAAAGGCTAGGGCTAGGAGGGTGGAGAATAACTGCTTAATTGTATAGATTTTACTTTGGGGTAATGAGAATGTTTTAGAGCTAGATAGAGGTGCTGGGCATACAACTGTGAATGTACTAAATGCCTCAGATTCATTCTTTTTATATTATTATTATTATTTTTTTAATGCATACTATACAAACTTTAATATCATATTTAAGGCAATGTAAAATTTAGTTTCAAACTTAATATGATTTGCATGCAATACAGAAGGACTCATCTATTTCTCCATCAATGAGTAGTATCAATCCTTTTAATCTTTGCTAAATGGATAGAAAACCAATAATAATTATTTTCCTATTCTGATTTATTTAATTGTGGCTGATCAGAATCCTTTAAACTGGTCATGTGTTCTTTTCTTTTGTAAGGAATGTAGGTCATTCTCTTTAAAATGGTCAATTTTATATTATTTGAATCCATCTCAATTAAAAAAATAGATTGGTTTAAAAAAATGGCGTACACAGATCTATGCGGGGAAAAAAACTAGAAGGAACTGCAAATCTTTTTTAGCACACATTTGTACTACAATATAAGCTCCTTTTAGACATAATTAGTCTCTGCTATATCCTCAACAATGAGCACCCAATCTTAGTTCTAATCAATAAAAGGAGTTACTTAGCTAGGACTGAGGTATTAAAGTTATAAAGGTAGGCTGCTTCCAGAGGTGGTTAGGAATGACAGTATACATGACAGACTGAGTTAAGTTCCAGGTGGCAAGAAGAAGGAAAAACTATTACTGCTTTTACCCAGGGTGTTTTTCATACTAGTGTAAGGCATTGGAATATAATTCTACCATTGATCCATTATCTATATAAATATATAATCCAAATAATTTTCACACCAAAATTATCTACTCTCCTTTACCTTATATCACTTACCTTCTGAAGACCCCTTCAACACCAGTAATGCCCATGCCATCCACAATATCTCTGGTGAGTCTAAACGGAACTGTTTCAGGAGTAGGAAGGATTTTACCCTGTTCAAAAGCAACCCCTAAAATAAAAAAATACAATCAGGTAAGGAGGCCTGACAGCTGATTTATATTTTTCCCAACTAGCACCAGTGAACTTTTGCAAAAGCAACAATCTTTCATTTTTTTCTATTGGTACTAAAACATATAGTA